ATAATGCTACAACTGCTAATGATGTTACTGCTAATAATGCTACAACTGCTAATGATGCTACTCCTAATAATGCTACAACTTCTAATGATGTTACTGCTAATAATGCTACAACTGCTAATGATGCTACTACTGCTAATGCTACTGCTGATACTACTACTGCTATTGATGATACTGCTATCAATGCTACTACTGCCAATGATGCTTCTGCTAATAAGAATACAACTGCTAATTATGCTGCTAATGATGCTAATAATAACACTTTTTATTTAAAAAAATCACTTCAAGACACAAAGACACTGTACAAACATCAATCAATCAGTGAAATATTAGACATTAAAAACAATTTAAAAAAGGTGGGTCTACTGCTAATAATGCTATTGCTAATAGTTCTGCTAATGCTAATGCTATGACTGCCAATGATGCTTCTGCTAATAAGACTACAACTGCTAATTATGCTGCTACTAATGATGCTATTGCTAATGCTACTACTGCTATAGATGTTGCTACTGTTAATAGTGATACTGCTAATGTTATTGCTAATGCTACTTCTGCTAACAATGCTACTGCTAATGTTGGTGCTGCTAATGATGCTAATAATAACACTTTTTATTTAAAAAAATCACTTCAAGACACAAAGACACTGTACAAACATCAATCAATCAGTGAAATATTAGACATTAAAAACAATTAAAAAAGGTGGGTCTACTGCTAATAATGCTATTGCTAATAGTWCTRCTAATGCTAATGCTATGACTGCCAWTGATGCTACAACTCAATCAAAAATTTGATTGTAAAATTTTTTCTTATTGAAAATTTTGTTTGATTGAATGATAAAAAAAGCAAAATGTTCTCCATAGCCTTTTGCTTTTTTGAAGCTATAGCTATCTATTAGCTACTTTTAGCTTTTAGCTAGCATTACCTCTGACCKTGACGTTCCTGGACGCCAGCTGGAAGCTGATCTGGTTTGAGGCTTCACACAGGTAGAGGGCGGAGTCTCCCAGGGAAGCAGCATGGATGCTGAAACTGAGAGGGGAGGCGGAGTCAGTCACCAGTAGCTCCTCCCCCTCCCTCTTCAGGCTCAATGTGGGGGGTGGACTTCCATCAGAGTGACAGGTAAATGTCAGCTCTTGGCCCTCCATCACTACCTCACCTGGACTCACTGACATGGAGGTGTTGGTGGGTGGAGCTATGTGAGGTGACAGACAGGTGTGTCAAGGTCACAAAAGACCAAAACAAAGATTGTAAATGAAACAGGAGCTTCACTCTCACCCAGAACAGTGACATTTACAGCGACTGTGTCGCTTCCTTCTGTGTTCCGAGCCTCACACTCGTATCGACCAGCGTCATAAAGTCTCACTGCTGGAAAGACCAGCTGACCTCCAAGTCCTTCCAGAGTCCGTCCGTCCATCGCCCTGACGCTCCAGGAGATGTTCGGCTGAGGGTTTCCCTCGGCTGAGCAGTTCAGAGTGAGCGGAGAGCCCGTCATCACGACCACAGGTTCTGAAAACTCTACGACAACTGGAGCATCTGCAGGAGAGAGGAAGGAGGAGGAGTTGAGTTTCAGAGGGAGGAGTTAGGACTAAGAGGGAGGAGTCAGGGGATGATTCAGGAGGAAGAGGGGTCAGGACTCTGAGGGAGGAGGGGTCAGGACTCAGAGGGAGGAGGGGTCAGGACTCAGAGGGAGGAGGAGTCAGGACTCAGAGGAGGAGGAGTCAAGATTCAGAGGGAGGAGTCGGGATTCAGAGGGAGGAGTCGGGATTCAGAGGGAGGAGTCGGGATTCAGAGGGAGGAGTCGGGATTCAGAGGGATGAGTCGGGATTCAGAGGGAGGAGCCATGATTCAGAGGGAGGAGCCATGATTCAGAGGGAGGAGCCATGATTCAGAGGGAGGAGCCATGATTCAGAGGGATGAGTCGGGATTCAGAGGGATGAGTCGGGATTCAGAGGGATGAGTCGGGATTCAGAGGGATGAGTCGGGATTCAGAGGGATGAGTCAGGATTCAGAAGGATGGGTCAGGATTCAGAAGGAGGGGTCAGGATTCAGAAGGAGGAGTCAGGATTCAGAAGGAGGAGTCAGGATTCAGAAGGAGGAGTCAGAATTCAGAGGAGGAGTCAGGATTCAGAGGGAGGAGTCGGGACTCAAACTCAGTCAATCGGACTCAGATGTGGACCACAGGAGACCACCTGAGTCTAGTGGACTAAGCTCAGACAAACAGACCTGKATCGTGACTCACAGAGGATGTTTAGGGAGACGGTGGTCTCTCTGGTCTGGTTCTCAGCTGGCAGATCCTCCATGTCCAGCGTGGCCCTGCAGGTGATGTTCCCTCCTGAGTCCTGGATCTGGAGCTGGTGCTCAGACCCAAGCAGGAGGGACGTAGACGCTCCCAAGGTGCTCTTCAGAGCCGTGCCTCCTTTAAGCCAGGTGAGGGTCAGAAAACCATCGGGGTACAGGTGAGGCACCTGGCAGGTCAGCGTGGACTCTGGTCCCAGTCTCAGCTGGTCCTGACCCGTGACCACAGGGTCTGAGGGGAAGGCTGGTACCAGAGGGGACACAGGTCAGGGTCTAAAAGTTAAACCAGGTAAAAAGACCAGGTGAGAGGACTCACAGTAGACCCTGACTGAGGTCCGTCTCTGTCTGCGCTCGTCTCCACAGAGGACCTGACAGACCAGCAGTCCTTCGTCCTCCGTCTTCACGGGGTCAAAGGTCAGCAGGGACTCTGTCCTGTTGGTGTGGACCGCCGCGGACAGAGGACGGTCTCCCAGCCTGAACCAGGACATTCTCGGGGCCGTGGGACAGTCCTGGACACTACAGAGCAGCTGCTGGCGCTCGCCCAGGCCGAACAGCGGCGCCCTGGGGACCACGTCCACACGCAGACCCTGAACGCACCACGAGGACATGAGGAGGACAGCTGTGGAGGGAACCAGAACCGTGTTAGAAAAAACTGCTGGTTCTGACCCAGTTAGGACTCTATTTTGTCCTCTAATAAAGCTGTTAAGAATCAGTTAATTAAAACGTAATCATTGTGGTTTTAGCTGTTTATACGTCACAACGTTCGGCTCATTCAGCTGATGGACTTCTAGGTTTTCTAAATTTTCTAAACATTCAACTTCTTTTACAAAAACTTCCTCTGCTGAAAGTCATCAAGATCTTTTCTATTTCTTTAAAAACATTTCTGCTTCGGCTGCTGGCTGTTCTTTTCTCCTGACACTTTTAGCTTCTGTTCAGCTTCTTTGAGCTTWTAAGCATCATTTAGCTCAGTTTAGTTTTTTAGCTCCTTTTATACCCCCTTTAGCTGATTCAGCTTCTTTTAACCAGTTCTCTGTAGTTTAGCTACTGTTCAGCATCTTTTAACCAATTCTCTGTAGTTTTAGCTACTGTTCAGCTTCTTTTAACCAATTCTCTGTAGTTTTAGCTACTCTTCAGCTTCTTTTAACCAGTTCTTCTCTGTAGTTTTAGCTACTGTTCAGCTTCTTTTAACCAATTCTCTGTAGTTTTAGCTACTCTTCAGCTTCTTTTAACTAATTCTTCTCTGTAGTTTTAGCTACTGTTCAGCTTCTTTTAACCAATTCTCTGTAGTTTTAGCTACTGTTCAGCTGCTTTAAGCTTTTATGTATCATTTAGCTCCCTTTAGATTTTTAGCTCTTCTTTTGCTCCATTTAGCTTATCTGTTCAGCTTCTTTAACAAAATTCAGCTGTTATTCAGAGCTCAGTTTAGCTACTTTCAACTCAGCTTTGTAGCTTCTATGTAGCCTTCTGCTCCTTTTAGCTAACATGTTGCTACTTCTACAGGTTTTAATGACAGAAAATGTTCTTTAATAAAAACTTGATGCTGTTTGAATCAAAAGGAAACTTTGATTTAAAATGAGCTTAAATGTTTTCGGCTCACAGCAGGTTCTGGAGGCCCTTCAGCTGTGAACTTGTTTTTTTTTTTCTGTTTAAAATGAGTCTGATGTTGAAACGTTCAATTAAACCTGGACTGACTCAGAAAAACAAAACAGAAAAACAGCCGAACGTCACAGACTCTCAGCAGAATGAGTCAAACTGTCAGAATAAAAGATTCAGAACAATAAAAGAAATATAAATAATCTGAGCTTACATCACAGCTGCTATAAACACATAAATATAAAACAAGAAATTTAATTTACTGATGAATAATCAACCTAATAATCCAGTTTTAAGCCTTTAGATTAAACCAAAGTGAGGAAGAGGAGCCTCACAGTCTTCTCTGGTCTTTTACAGAATAAATCTGGATGTTTTCCTCTTTTCTCCTGGTTTTAATCCCTCCTGTTGTTATTCAAATGAAGACRGAGCAGCTGAACCAGTTGATGAGAGGTTTCACAGAAAACCAGCTCCCATCAGATTCAATAAAACTGAATCTCACCTGAGAGCAGCTGAACAAAGATCCTGTGTTCAGACATCTTCACCACGCTGATGGCTGCACGAACAGATGAACGGATGGTTGGATGAACGGATGGATGAGAGGTTGGATGAACGAGCGTCGTCTCCTTTGTGTTTCTGTTTCAGAGTCTGGAGCAGAAAATGAGCTGGACAGATGAAAGACCAGAGGACGTGTGAACGCCCCCCCTCTGATCAGCTGCTGAGTCCACGGCGCCCCCTGCTGGACAGAACAGGAAGTGTTTAACCTTTCATTAACCTTTCATCACAACTCGTTTTATTTGTGTGTCTTACCCTCCTCCTCCTCCTCCTCCTCCTCCTCTTCAGATATGCAGGTGAAACCAGGCGTGGTGGTAGCTGAGAGTCATCTTCATCCCTCTGAGCACCAACAGATCAGAGGGAAGGTGGTGGGCACAGTTCCCCTAAAGCACTAATGGGGGAACTAATTTCCTGATTAGTGATTTTGCTCATTTTAAAATGTATTAGTGGATTAGCACTTGCTAAATTTATAGGCTAAATTTAGAAGCACTAACTGAGGTCTATAAATGTTATTGATCAACATTAATGTTAACAGCTGAGGGTGAAAACTGTCATTTTGTTCATGTGTGTCACTGATCCACCAGCTGACAATATATCAACAAAGAAATCCAGTCCAGCTGTGGAATGTGAATAAATCTAMAGAGAGCAACATGACAACATGTGACTCATGTCTGCTGAGGATTCATTATTTTAGTGCTTTACAATCAGCTTTTGCTAAAAATTTCAGTGCGTTAGTGCTTTAGAATTAGGGGACCTAAATATTAGAGTTAATGCTTTAGAATTAGGGGACCTAAATATTAGAGTTAGTGCTTTAGAATTAGGGGACTTAAACATTAGAGTTAATGGTTTAGAATTAGGCGACCTAAATATTAGTTTGTGCTTTAGAATTAGGGGACCTAAATATTAAGAGTTAATGCTTTAGAATTAGGGGACTTAAAACATTAGAGTTAATGCTTTAGAATTAGGGGACCTGAATATTAGAGTTAGTGCTTTAGAATTAGGGGACCTAAATATTAGAGTTAGTGCTTTAGAATTAGGGGACCTAAATATTAGAGTTAATGCTTTAGAATTAGGGGACCTAAATATTAGAGTTAGTGCTTTAGGTTTAGTGGAACTAATTTTTAGATTAGTGCTTCCCCCCACTGGTGGTGGGCGATATGAATTCAGTCAAGGAACGTGTGTTTCATTCAGAAAGATTTATTTTTGGTTTCTCATCAGTTTTATTAATTTTATTATAAATAATTTGCTCCTTGACAAAATAACATCTTATCAAGTGGAACATGAAGTATTTTGCAAACAGGTGCTGATTAACACAAATATTTGAATAAACTTATTGGAGACTTTAGGATCCATTGATTCACAGAAACACAAATTAACTCCAGAAGTCATTTTATTAGAAACAGTAAAGACAAAATATCTACATTATTACTGTCTGAACTTCCCTTTAAGTTTAAGGGAAAAAAAGACATTCGTGAGTAAAAACAGCGGCAGTTCATTTCAAAATAAAAGTATTTCCTTCTTTGCTACATTTCCAGGCCGTTCACCAAACGTAGCTATAAAATGTTTAAAGGGGTAGTTTGGATCTTTGAAGTGGAGTTGTGAATATCTCACCTGTTGCAGATATATCAAACAGTTCACTTCTAAATGTCTGAACTGTCACTTTAAGGCACTTCAGGTCCGTTTAACTCKAGGCTGGAGGAAGTAACAGTCAGATCGATCAGTTTGATCGTTTATTCTTCAAGTTTTAATTTGTGACACAGACAAACCCGTCAGCCAATCAGGACCTGAAGCTACGAACGACCACAGATCTGATGAAGGCACCGAAGTCACGTCTGAACAGAACCTCAACACGAGGCGGTTTCATCAAAAACAAGACGACACTACAGAGTTCTGGAGTCCAAACTGAGGGCGGACGAATCCTTCGCTACTTTCACTTTCAGGATCGTTGATCCGTCGTTAACTGTCAAACCAAACCCTGAACAGGCTGTGATAAACCTCACTGACCCTCATTTCCTGCAGCCAACCCTCCAGCTTCCTGTCMGGATCCGGTCCGGTCCGGTGTCAGACACTGCAGTCGTTTTATTTCTCAAAACAGATCTGAAGGATTTATTTTTTCAAATTAGCAACAGTTTGAGTGAAAAAATTAGTCTCATAATAAAAACAACAAAATAAAGTTTAATAAAGATATTTGTTTCAACCTCCTGCTGCTCTTAGATCAAAACCATTCACGAGGTCTCAGTTTGACCTCAGGTCAGCTGGAGGGTTTTAATAAAATCTCTCTCATAAAATTAGTTTAAATTTTATTTCGTCTTCACCCTACTGCTGCTCTGGGTTAAAGGCTTTAAATGTTAAATACGGATCATAAATCTGATGATTTTTTGTTTTGGCCTCTCTCTTCCACAGAGAACAGGTTATCTGGTCCGCTCCTTCTACAAAAACATAAATAAATAAAGCTCCGTGAATCTCTGCTGTTCGTCTCATTGCTCGAGTTCAAAGACTCGTCTGAAACAGGTAAGACACTAACTTCATAACATCTCCACTTGACCTCATTAAAGTGTCTGGAGTGGCCTTTTGTTGAGTTAAAGCAGAGTGCGATAAAACATTTAAAGTGTTTATTAATCTGCTGAAAGAAACACTTTATTAATAAAAAWAACATTAAAAAGCCCAAAACGTTAAATATTCAACATCCATAAATTSACATTTATTTGTTTTTGTGTRAAACTGATCTCCAGATGAGTTTATGTTTCTTTTATAAATAACTTCTTATTCTGGTGATATTATTAAAAACTAAAATCTGGTTTCTTTATTAAAAAAATAAAATTATCCGTCTTTATTCTCAGTCTGGTTAAAAAAATAAACCCTAAAAGTTGCTTTAAGGCACGGCCCGCACGTTTGATTCTGACCCGAAACCATAAAACCCAAACAGAACCTTGCTCAGGTGTAAATACTGTAACCATGACGAGAGCCTCTCGCCGTCTGCAGACACATAAAAAAACAACTAAATATTTTCTATCGTTAACACAAAAATATAGTTTCTTCTGTGACAAATGATATAAAATCTGTTTCTCTTCAGCCAAACACGCGTGTAGATCACAACATATTTACACACAGTTCAGTCCTGAGAGGGGAAGCCTCTCGCTATGTCACTTCCTGTCCACACTGAGGGGGGCGGGGTCTCAGGTGGGACCTCTAGTTTTAGTACTGGATGTAGTCCGACCGAAGAGACTGAAAAACAAACAGATTGAAACATTTTGAGTCAAAGATGGAGAGAAAATAAACAAAAATACGAACRACAACAAATCAAACTCRAGCTTCTGAAAACATTAAAGAGTCTTTGATCTTTTTATGATTTATGGCTCAGATCGAGTCAGAGAACTCTAACATTAAAGTGTCTGCGACATCAAAGTTTTGCTATAAATATCAATGCATTTTTGGAAAGACAACATTATCAACATWTTACAAAACAAATTTTACACAGCTCGGATGAAGAGTTGTTGAAATATTTGCAAGTAAAATAACAGGAAGTGATGTCACAGGAGAATGTCAGCATGTGAACAGAGTGTTACTAAAATGACTAACAGACTGTAGAGAATTTGTTTCTTCAATTTATTTTGAGCTACRATCAAAGAGAGATGAAGAAGAGTCAGAGTTTCAATAATAGTTTCAATAAACAAAGACCAGAGAGTTTTCTTTCTTAAAGAGTTCCCCTTTGATGTCACTTCCTGTTTCACTTTGGCTGAGTCAAGTTCAAAAGAAAATATAACAGTTATGAGACAAAATGAGTAAATTATAAAGAATTATGTTACGTTTAAAAGGATCCCCGATTAGTTGTAACATTAGACTTTATTTTATAAACATATATTTTAACTGTAAAATAAAGACTGTAAAAATACTGTAGGATGTTTAGTTTTTATCATTTTTTAACTAAAAGTTTTAAAATATATTTTAACACGGACGGGGACATTTTATTTCCACGCAAAGCATTCTGGGTAAATGATGACGTGGAYAGGTCCTCGGTGCGAGGCTGCTAGCGAGCTATATCCACCCTGAAGGTTAATCTTGGACAATATCTGATGATCGACTCTTTTAAATGAAACCAGAGAGCGTTGACAGAGAGGAGAAGGTAGAAATGACTCAGCCTGGAACTGAAAATATGGATGGAGGACAACAGAGCTGCTTCATGGAAGAACAACCTCAGCTTAGCCTGTTAGCTTTAGCATTAGCCCTGACGCTATCACCATATATATGTATTAGCTCAGCGCTACACATTCTCCTCTCGTCACTGAGGTCCTCCATCCACATGACAGAGAGGGGAACACAAAAATGACTCAGCTTCAACTGAAAATATGGATGGAGGACCTCAGGTTAGCTTGTTTGTCGCGCTAGCGCTGAGCTAATACATATAAGGTAATATAGCATCGGCGCTAGCACATAAGCTAACAGTCTAAGCTGAGGTTGTTCTTCCATGAAGCAGCTCTGTTGTCCTCCATCCATATTTTCAGTTCCAGGCTGAGTCATTTCTACCTTCTCCTCTCTGTCAACGCTCTCTGGTTTCATTTAAAAGAGTCGATCATCAGATATTGTCCAAGATTAACCTTCAGGGTGGATATAGCTCGCTAGCAGCCTCGCACCGAGGACCTATCCACGTCATCATTTACCCAGAATGCTTTGTGTGGAAATAAAATGGCTCCGTCTGTGTTAAAATATATTTTTAAAAAATTATAAAACTAAACATCCTACAGTATTTTTACAGTCTTTATTTTACAGTTAAAATAAATGTTTATCAAATAAAGTCTAACTAATCAGGGATCCTTTAAAAAGGTGTTTACTTTAACTTTTTATATTTAATATGCACGTCACAGGCACTTAAAAAAAGCTAAAGAAGTTTTTATCTCATCTGAAGACAAGCAGAGCTCCGTCTCTTCAGCTTGTATCTGAACACCACAGAAATGACACACGAGACGAACAAAATAAAAACACAAACATGACCGACCTGCAGAACGAAAGGGTTTGAGTTAAATAAACTGTAATCCATCTAAATGTTTATAATCGTTCACTCAGTTCATGTTTCTAAACAATAAAAATGAAGTTTTGTTGTTTAGAGTTTGAATAAATTCACTCAGTTTGAGCAAACGCAGAAACAAACTTGAAACGTCTCGGCGGTGAGGATTTAATGCGTCCTGATGAATCTCAGCAGCAGCGTTTGGTCAGAGTGAGTTAGTGAGGTTAAAGGGATAGTTCGTCCATCTTTAAAGGGACATCAGCTTAAAACAGAGCCGAGGAGGAGGAGGCAAAGATCTGCACCCTGGCTAGGCTAACAGCTAGCTAAAACTGAATTTTTAGTTTTATAATCTGGATGAAGACTTTTGCCTCTTTCTAGAAACCTCCAGCTGATAAGGAACTAATTATTGATTATTAGACAGATGTTAAGACCGTCCTTTAAGATATTAGTAAACAGAAAACAAAATAAAACCACAGATTCCCTGCTTGACCCAAAGAACCAGAGGATTCTGCCRAGTTACGGTTCAATAAAACATCAAAGACAGATGACATCATCACTTTATTCACCCCCCTGCTGCCCTGGGGTCAAAACCACTCGAGACCTCSGGGGTCGTTTTGATCCAGGGGCAGCAGGAGGGTGAAAACAGATCCAACATTTAAAAGGAACTGTGAGGTCAGAGTGACGTTTAAAACTTCATTCTGTTGTTTTTGTTTGTTTGTTTGTTTGTTTACATCTCGTCACCTGACCTCTTTAGTTCAGTCAAACAAGGAAACAGGAAACAAAAATAAATAAATAAATAAAAATAAAAGCACGTCAGGAGCACACCAGAAGCAGACGTTTTATAAAACTGCAGATTCATTTATTTTGTGACATTTTTAAAAATGGCCGTCTCTGGTGTGTTGCTGACATCAGGACAGAAAGCACCTATCAGAAGAAAGGGGCGGGGTTTCAGCTGCTGCTGTGACGGAGGACTTACAGGTATGGAGCGGCTCAGATAGCGTCCCGAGGGGCCCTTCATGGCACTGTAGGGCCCRTGGCCCCTGTAGGGGTCCTGATGCGTCGGATGGATATAACCTTTGCCAGCAGGTGGCGCCACGGAGCCGCCGTACAGGGCGCCGCCGCCGCCGCTGTTGTTGTTGACCTCCTGCTGCAAACTGTGAGGTCCGTTAGCGTAGCAAGACAGAGGGGGCGGGGCCATCGATGAGGGGGAGGAGCTTAAAGACACAGTCGGGGGAGAAGACGGAGGGGCGGAGGAGTAYGTTGTCGTCTTGTTCTCCGCGATGTCGGCGTTGTAGAGGTCGCCGAGAGAGCTGGCCAACCGCGAACTGAAGGCGGAGCTGAGGTCAGCAGGAGGGGGAGGGGCAAATACATCAAACAAACATGAAACGTCAACAAAACAAACAACATGAAACGTCAACAAAACAAACAACATGAAACGTCAACAAAACAAACGGGAGACTTGACCTAAATCAGCTGAATTTAATGATCAAAAAAAGCAGGATCAGATGGTAAAGATTGTGAGGCGATGAAGAGGAGCGGGAGTCACACAGGAAGTCAGCTGAGCTCTGACCTTCTGATGTTCGACGCCATCGATGAAGAGTTCCTCCCGATCCTTTTGGCTGCAGCTGAAGCAGAGGATGATGGGAACTTGGAGGGCTTGAGGGTGGAGGCGGAGCCATGACCGACGCCCATTGACAACCTGAACAGAAAACCTGATCATCAACTGCGTCGACGCGATTAAACACCACGAAGTGACGGGAGGAAGGTCGTACCTGAGAGGCTGAGTACCTGAGCGGCTCTGCAGCTTCATCTCATCGACTCTGAAAACCAGACCAGACCCGTTAGTCCACACCCAGACTGGACCCATTAGTCCACACCCAGACTGGACCCATTAGTCCACACCCAGACTGGACCCATTAGTCCACACCCTGAACTTTAACAGATTAAAGTTTTAAAGGTTCTAGAAACTGGCTCACATTCGAAACCAGTAGAACCAAACAAAAGATGGTTCTTAAATTTCTAACTCATGTTGTTCTATGAAACACAAAGAGAACTGTTCTGGTTCTGGTTCTGGTACCTCAGATTTGTGGTGGCGAGTGATCGAGGGGGACGTCGACTCTTCAGGGCTCTCAGTTTGTCGCCCTGCGTCAGACCTGAACTGTCTGTAAGGTCCCCCTGCAGGACAAAACAAGATCCTCATGAAAGCAAGAAGAACAAAAAATAACCTGAAAATCTGAACTTCAGCTGGCATTAAGCTACTCTCAGCCGGCATTAAGCTACTCTCAGCCGGCATTAAGCTACTCTCAGCCGGCATTAAGCTACTCTCAGCCGGCATTAAGCTACTCTCAGCCGGCATTAAGCTACTCTCAGCCGGCATTTAGCTACTCTCAGCTGGCATTTAGCTACTCTCAGCTGGCATTTAGCTACTCTCAGCTGGCATTTAGCTACTCTCAGCTGGCATTTAGCTACTC